CAAATCTTTAATCCACGAAAAAAAATCTAGGAAAATAGAGAGAACAAGAAGTTTGAGAAGAATAAGAGAGAAAAAGGTTTAAAAGCTTGAAAATTTCAGTTTTGATGCGAAAAATAAAAAGCAAAATAACTAGATCTTGTTTTTGGGCTTGAGGTCTAGCTCGACCTAGGAAAATAAAAAAAAAAAAAAACAAATGGGGCTGGACTGTCACGGCTCCTCTCAAAAAAAAAAAATACGTGTGGGTCGGATCGGTTTCGGTCCAGCCGCGCTCCTTCACATCAAAATAAAAAGGGTGGTCGAGGTCGGAATTCGGCCTAACCCAGTGTCCCTTACTCAAAAAAAAAAAAAAAAAAAAGAGAAAAGAAAAAGAGCAACAAAAAAAATAAAAAATAGAATTAGGAAAAAAAATAAGTAATAGGAAAAAAAATAAGAAGGAAAAAACGGGGATGGGTAAAAAAAAAAAAAAGTAAAAGTTGTGAGTTAATGGTTTAGGTATAGGATGATTTTTTTTATTTTTATCCTTTTCTTTTATTATTCATTTATTTTTTAGCATGTTTATTTTTATTCCTTTTTGTTTTTTTTATTAATTTAGAATTGCTATTTCAATTTTTTTTATTTTCTTTTCTTTAATATGTATTGCTAGAAAAATAAAAACAAATCTTGATGAAGCCTCCTATCCGATAGGGATCGACATCACCAAAAAAAATACCTAAAATTTTGGCGAAGCCTCCTACATGGTAGGGACCGACGTCATCAAAAAAATAATAAATAAATAAATTCAACGAAGTCTCCTATCTAATAGGGACCGACGTCACCAAATTCAAAATTTTCGACGAAGCCTCCTATTTGATAGGGGTGATGTTACCAAAAAATCACCTTTTAATTACGATGTCCTCCGACACGTCGGTTGTATCAAGGCTTTTAGTGGATCCGATGTTTGAATCGACATGTCACCCGACGAAGAGGACCAACGATCGTTTCAATATGATGCCACGCCCAAAACTAAAAAAATTCATTTAGTCTAAAAAATAGGAGTTTAAAAATTAGAAAATAGCTTGACATGGATTTTTAGGAGATGAATTTAGAATTAAACCACGGATGGTATCTTTTTTTGAAAATGACACTTTTAGGTAATTAAATATCTTCCTAAAAGCGTAACCAACTCCTTACCTTAGAATCTCCGAACCGAGTGCTACTTTTAGGTTCCTAGTTCCTTAAATACTAGGTGGCGACTCCAAAACTCTGTAAATAATTTTGTAAATAATTAACGCTCGGACTTTAACTTTCTTTGGGGGGTCCAATCCGACGTCGTGTAGCAATAGTATTAAAAGTCATACTTTGTATCTTACACTCTCATCTTTCTTATTTCGTGTTCACGTAAATACACATTTGTATTCCATTGGCTTAACATCTTTAGGTATTTTGACTATGAGTTTAAAAACTACTCATTTGTAAAATAACATAATTTTGTACTGGATTGTTCTTTTCATTTAGGCCAATCATCATTATATCGACATTCTTCAATAAATTTAGACTCGGGATCCTTATTTTTATTCAAGATATTAATTGAAACATTATATGCACAAATCTTATCAATAAATATTTCTTTTCAATCCTATTTTCTACTTGTATTAACATAATTTATCAAAGTGTCTTAATTTTTCTCAAGCATTTGGACTTCTTGTAAAAGCTTATTATCGAAATATCTTGGACTATTTTATAAATATTTACACTCTTTATTTTAATTATTTGCCTATTTCTTTTGGGGATTTTTTCTTTTATAAGCTGATCGATCTTCCATGCTTCGAGTGCGCTTTAGATTCATTTTCTTTAACATTAATAAATTGTCTTTCTAGGACATCAATTCGAATGGGAGCATTCCCACTTGAAGACATGCATTTTGGTTATTCATTTAGGATCTAAGAATACACTTAGTAGTTGGTTTGCAATACATTATAAATGAATTATCTTTTGAACTTCTAGCTCACATTATTTTGTATGAAGATTAAAATGATATAAGATAGTGTACTCCATGTAATTTTTTTTTAATATTTTCAACTACTTATTTTTTTATTCTCTCGACTTAATGTTGAAAAATCTGTTTCATCAAAATACGGTTGATAAATCAAGTCTGTAAAAATATCTCTTATTCATGGTTCCGGATATTGAATTATTGAAGAGGATTCAAATCCAACATATATTTTCAATCTCCTTTAAGTGCCCATTTTAGTTCGATATGGAGAAGCACTACGGATATATATTATAATACCAAAAATTCTTAAATAAAAAATATGTAGCTCATGACCACAAATCAATTGAAAGGGAAGAATTTCTAATAACTTATGTATCCGATGCGAATAAGTATTACTGCATGTAAGATTAGATGTCTCCAAACATAAACAAGAAGTTTTGTTTTTAAATAATGGTTTAACTATCAATTGGAGCCTTTTGATAAATGATTTTGCTAAATCTTTCTAAGTATGTACATGAGTAACAAGATGTTTAACCTTTATTCTAATAGCCAATCAATAATCATTTAATGCTTAAAAGATAAATTCACCATCATTAGCAAGGTAAATTGTTTTAATGGCATAATTTAGAAATTATGCTTGTAATTGATTTATTTGAGCTAGCAAACTTGAAAATGTTAGGTTTCAAGTAAATAATAAACATACATGGACTATTTTATAGATGCATTTATTAAAACCTTACAATATCTAAATGGTCCACATGGTGGATGAATTAATCAACATATATCACCTTGAATACGTTCTAAAAATACTAAAGATTTAATCTCAATTTTACTTGGTGATGACTTAATAATCAATTTGCCTTGAGAATAATAACATGAAAATTCATTAAATTGAAGAATCTTCTAACTCTTCAATATATGTCCATATGAATTTTCAATAATTTTTTGCATTATGAAAAACCTAGGATAACACTACTCGGTAATACCACATAATAAAAGTATTTTAATTAGTAAGCTTCGGTTTACTATATAGTATTTGTTTGAATCATTCCAATATTTGTAATAAAGATTAGAAGAGAAAATAGATGATTTTTTCAATACATATTTTCTATTCGATGTAATTATAATATTTAAGAATTTAATATTTGTCACATTTGCTATCTTAATATGATATCAATTTAGATGAATATCTTTGAGGCTAAACAAATTTCTATGAGACTTTAGAGAGAATAATAATCATTTATAATAAAATTTATCATTTTAGATAATAAAATATTTTCCTTTTTTTGAGTCTCTAAATTCTTTCATTTCAAGAAGTAGTATATTTACTCTTCTAGAGTCTTTAAAAGTTCTCTTCAAATAATAATATATTCGCTCTTCTAGAGCCTTCAAAATTTATCTCTTTAGGTAATAATATAATTGCTTTTCTAGAGCTTTCTATTAGATCGATATTATCATATATAATATTAACATAAAATAAATAAATAAATACAATATATATATATATATATATATATATTCTTCATAAACACAAATAAATAAATAGTAAAATAAATTTGTAACCATCGCTATACGATAGAAATTATAATAAATATAAAACATTTTATTTATAAATAGAAAAACTAATAAGTAATTAATTTCGAGTTACTATTTTTTTGATATATAAAAGTGGCCTCCATATTTTACTCTTTTTTTTTCAATGAGGCTCGATAAGGCTCAATAAGATGATTTGGTGTACGCAACCAATGTCCTTTCATATCACATTTATAACATTCATTTTCAGAATACTAACTTGATCCATTTTTATTCCTTTCTTTTTTTTTCTTTTTTTCATAGTTTATCCACTTCGGTAGTGAAATGTATTATTATGGTCATTATGATTATAATGATAATTATTTCGATCACATATATGGATATGACCACATCTTCATTCATGCCTAAAATTATTATAAGTTGTCACATTAACTTTAGGAAATAGGGTAGATCCAATTAGAGGAGATTTCATCAATAGCTTGTTATTTTATTTAGTTATGAGGAGGCATGAAATCAATTCGAATATTTCTTAAACGTTTTTTCATGATATGCTACTACAAGAGCATATTCAAGACATAAAAAGTATAGAATATTTACTTAGCATCAAGCACTCATGATCAATAATTCTTGTCTAAAATGTCAAAGACCACAAAATCAAGTTTTATGATATTTGATATCATAAAAATTCTATAATGCAAAGTATAATAATAGTAGTAGGAAATAAAATTAAACATAATAATTGAATTAAAACTTTTCAAACAATAAATATTAGATAATTAGATTCTGTATATTAGATCATTTAAATTTTTCAAATGTATATTTTATATATCATTAGATTTAAAGTATATGAGAAATTAGATAAATACACCTTAATGATCTAAATAATTTAGATCTTTTGGTGGAATAATTGTGTAGAGAAATAATCTAATGATTGAAACAAATGATTAATTCTTTTGAAAGATATATACCTCATGGTCTATTAGCTCAATTTATTAGAGTTTTCGTGTTGATAACGTGTTTTTAAAAAAATAGTAACAATGATAGAATTGGAGAGAGAAATGATGAAGAAATGATTTTACTATGAAATAAAGAGAATACAAGAGATGATAACTCTAAACAATTTTCTCAATCTCTACAAAATGCTTGCATACAAACTAATAAACAATTAAACATATTTGTAGGCTTCAAGATCGGGAAAAGAATTGAAAGAAATTATGAACCATTAAAAGATGCATAACTAATTGAATAAATTACATCATCCTTTCAATTTTTCATATTGAATGGTGAATTAAATCAAATGAGTAGTGAGAATATAAAATAATCATGCACATTCATTATTTCATAACAAAAAGGAAGTTTTTATAAAAATTTAGGACAAGATGTTTATCCAGATAATTAAACTAATAGCATATGATTAACAACAATAGACATCAACAGCATTTCTTATTCAATTAAAAACCAAATTTCAGCCAAACAAGTTAATTCTTAAATAAAATTACCCAGATAGGACAGCCTGTTCCATTTTTTGCCCCATGAACTGAAGAGAGGAATTAATATAAGAATTAAAATCCTCCAATGACCACCCTTCGATTGGATCAGCAACGAAGAACCACTCGATCTTGCACCCACGTTGACCATCTCCATCTTTGATCGGCAATACTTTCATGGTGGCGACATAGGACTTGAATCCAATGTTATTTTCAAGGATCTCATAGCTTAGACACCGTTCGATTGGATCAATCATTATTAGCTTCTCTTTGGCCCAGCTGATCTTGGTCTCCTCTTGACTCCCATCCGCTGATAGTGTGCTCGAACCGCAGTACCGAATCAGGCCAGGTTGTCCTAGCTTACCCTCCACCTGGTAACATGTATCCACTCCAGGAAGCCACTTTTGTAGATTACAGAAGTCCTCCAGGAAAGGCCATACTTGATCTGCTGTTGGGCTTTCTAGAACCACCGTGGCCTTGCCTTTCCATTTGGGTTGTGTTTCTTCTGCCATGATAGAGGGAGAGGAAGGTTAGCTTCTGTGAGGCTGGTTAGTGGTAACCAGAGCAATTATGATGCTTAAAACGTAAATCATTAGCTATTTTGGTCAACGGACAATTTCAGATATGTTTCTTTTTCTAATTATTTGTTTCAAAAAAAAAAAAAAGAGAGAGAAAATGCGTAGTTGGAGAATCTCTACTTTAAATTCAAAGTTTTCCATGTGCTAATAAATTATACCAATAAGTGGCTTATTAGTATAGTACACTAACATTGTCTGAGTTATCCTAGTTCATTGACAAACAGTGGGATCATACACTCAAAGGTGGCCACTTTCTTTCGGCGAACCTAAAAAATTCCCTTTAATTATAATTATATAAGTATTCTTAATTTTCCATCAAATAATTTTTTGCATTAATTTATCCGTAAGTTTTCATAAATTCTTAATTAAAGACTCCCATTTATTTTTGAAACTTTTCTCCCATTTTTTCATCCAAATTGTACTTTTATTTTTATAAGAAATTTAAAGCTTTTCTCTATGTGATTCTAACATAAATCTTTAATTGAGAAATCAAAATAGTTTAAGGATAAAAATTAAAACATTAAATAATTTAGATGCAAAATTGATGCTATACCAATCAGCTAAGGTGCATTTAAGGTTTGCCCTAATTCTCTTTTTTTTTTTTTTTTTTCATCGCCTACGAAGGAGCCTGAAAAGAATGTGAAAAATATCGCACATTGTCATTTCATTACAAGAAAATAGGGAAAGATTTATAAAGCTATGTAGCTTAACTATTTCCTATAATAAGCTATGAAATATAGAAATATCCATATATCCAAGGATTGTTTTTAATGTAAAATATTTAGCAATAATAAGAAGATAATTACCACTATTACTCCCCTCATGCTAGAGCATGCGGATTAAAAATGTTCAATTTGTGTAGCAAGGTTTGAAAGCGGTCACGTTTAAGAGCATTGGTAAAAATATTTACCAACTAGTACTCCATAGACATTGAGCAAGGTAATAATAGCTTGAATTGAATATGCTACCAAATGAAATGACAATCAATTTTAATATGTTTTGTGTGTTCATGAAAAAATAGGATTGACGACAATATGAAGTGTAGCTTGATTGTCACAAAATAGAGAAATATGACTAGAATGAGAAATGTCCAAATCGGAAAGTAAGCGCTCAAGTCAAATAATCTCACTAATAGTTGCCACGGAGCTCTATATTTGGCTTCGGTTGACAAATGAGAGATAACAAATTGTTTCTTGTAGTGCTAAGAAATGGGTGAAGAACCTAAAAATATGATATAACCTATGGTGGATCGATAGACGGTTGAACGACTAGTTCAATTTACAATACAATAGCCTCTAAATGACAAAAAAAATATCAAAAAGAAACATGATGATCTATCTAGGAGCACTTTTGATGTAGCGAAGCAACTTGACACCGGCATCTAAATGTGGTTGGTGGGGACTATGCATGAACTAACTCAAAATGTATATTGTATAACTAATATCGGATTGGATGATAGTGAGCTAAAGCAAGTGACCAATGAGACGATAATATTGCACTAGAATCATTAAGAAGAGGAATGACATCAAGATCAAGGTTATGTTGTTGATTTATGGCTTAAGTGGATGGCTTGCAACTAGTCAAACCACATTCGGATCAAATATCAAGAACATATTTGTGCAAGCCGAGGACGATACTAGTCGAGAAGCATATAAACACAAGGCCTAAAAAATATTTAAGCTTTTCAAGGTCTTTGATATGGAACTTAGAATTCAAATATTATTTGAGCCAAGAGATTTTAGTATTGTTAGTATCCAACGACATAAATAAGAAGCGCCACAAATGAACCATGTTATGAAAAGGTAGATAAGAAATGATCTAAAAAAGACGGAAGAAATTCTATATCTAGTAAAGATCGATTGAAATTTTGATACCAATTTTGAGATGCTTCACAAAGTCTATAGAGAGATTTCTAAAATTGACAAAATCGTTACTCCCTTATCTAGCAAAACTATGAGGAATTTTCATATATACTTCCTCCTTAAGGTCACCACGCAAGAAAGTGTTGTTGATATCTAATTGATGGAGTTTTCAATTGCATACAAAAGCAATAGCAAAGAGACAACGAACGGTGACCAATTTGGAAACGAGTGTAAAGGTCTCATGAAAATCAATGCCTTCGATCTCGGTATATCCTTTTGCCACAAGATGAGCTTTGTACCTCTCCATAAAGCGATCGAGTTAAATTTAACCTTGTAAACCCATTTAGAGTTAATGGCTCATTTTTTAGGTAGCAAGTAAACTAATGTCCAAGTATGATTAGCTTCCAAAACATAATTTTTTTTTGCCATAACAACCCTTCATTAAGCATGTTAAACTGCATCAAAAAATAATGTAGGCTCATCAATAGAAAAGATTGTCGCTAAAAATACATGATGAGTTCTAGAAAATTTAGAACAAGAAATAGTATGAGATAAAGGATGTACTGTCGAGTTAGCTGAATGATATAGATAATGCAAGGTGGAGGAAGGAAGGAGGAAAGGCGATAAAGTATAATGAAAGCTTGAGAGATACTTAGACAATTAAAAGAGATGATAAGGTGGATAAGCAGGAGAGGAAGACAAAAATCCATTAGAATCTAGAAGGTCCACAAAATCTGAAGAATGCTAATGAAAAGATAAACTATAAGAAATATCGTGAGAAGCCTAAGTAGGAATAAATTTATTGAATGGCATTATTGTGTAGAAATAATATCAGGTTATGATACTTTTGTCATGATAAACCTATTTACAGTGTAGAGCTCAAGTGATAAAAAAAGGCTTTCAATGTAGGTTGATAAATTAAATGTAGCCCGATATGTATGGACTTGTCAGTAAGGATAGAAGATCCAGGTGATGAGATAATGGTTGGACCTTGTATAGAGAATGACAGCCTAGTATCTGCGGCCTGTTTAAGAGGAAAGAATGTATCTCGTTGTGCATCTGTATCCCACAGCACGTCTGTGGGCCTGTACCGACCTTAGAGTGTAGCCCATTGTGCATATGGGCTCTACAGCGTGTCTGTAGCAGATTGTTCAGTAGGCTTTGTCCCAACCTTGATGAAGTTGCCTAGTGGATATGAGTGGAACAGTAGGTGTTTGAGGAAATAATTCACCCGTATTTGTAACTAGAAGTTCAATAGAATTAGTGAAAGAATTGAAGGGGAAAATATCTTTAAAAAATTCCACATCATGAGAGGTATATATTTGGCAAATGCCCAAATCAAATATTTTGTACCTTTTGTGACTATGAGGATAGCCCATAAAAATTTTAGGTTTATTGCGAGAAGCAAATTTATCTCCTACCTCGGTGTAAATGTGTCCATAACAAAGACACCTAAAACTACGTAGATGATCATAAGATGAGACTTGATTAAATAAGAGTTCATAAGGTGTCTTATTATGTCGAATAAAAAGTGGCATACGATTGATAAGTTATGCTACAATCAAGATGCACTCCTCTAAAATTGGATTGATAAATAAGCTCGAAAACACAAAGCTCTAATCGCCTCTAGAAGATGCTAGTGTTTGTGTTCCACCACACCATTTTGTTGAGGGGTATTCATGCAAATGGTATGTTTGGTCATCCAATGATTAAAATAATAATGCATCAATTCGAGTATGATTGAATTCAAAATCATTATCGGTATAGAAAGTCTTGATTTTGATATGGAACTCGTGTTTGTACCTAGTTAAAAAATAATATAATAATGTTTGGTTTTAGACTTGTGTTTTATGCGAAAAATCCATAAGGCCCAACTACAATCATTAACAATTACAAGAAAATAATGTGACTTCGAATGAGACGAAATACGGTACGAGTCTCTAGATATCACAATGCACTAAGTCAAAATTATTAGCTAATTTATTAGTACTAGTAGGAAAAAGCAATCTAGTATGCTTTGCTCGACAACATGAATCACAATAAATTTTTTGAAGAATCAACGATAACAAATAAGTTCATAACTAATAGCACACGATTATGTGGTATGTGTCCTAGATGGTGATGTCACAGGCCTACCTCCATAGACCTCTTTGCCATAAGTGCATTCCCTTCCTCTATTGGTATTAGATAATATAGTCTATCTCACATTCTACTCAATCTAATTAGCTTTTTTGAAAATAAGTCTTGTATCACACAAAATTCATATTTAAATATTAGAACACAATGAGATCCTTAGTTAATTTACTATCAGAGTAAATTGAAACAAAATTTTGGCACTTTTAAAACATGTTCAAGTGTTAGTTGATGGCAAAGTTGGACTGGGCCCAAATTTTTAACTGAGATACAATCTATAATGGAAATTTCAACTAGTGGAATGAGTGGATTGAGAGATACATCGGTCATGGAATTAAAATTGCATGCTGTGTAATCTGTGGTCTCGCTATCAATGATCCATGAGTTTGCCTTACAGGAATTATTGGAAACAACATTTACAGATGGGCTTGTATAGCATTCGAAGTAACAGCCCAAAAGTGCAGCAATCAGTTGGACTTACGTAGCAATAAGACTAGACAGCAGACTTTGGGCTACAATTTACTGTTGTTGCCTGACTGACTCTGAAGCGGGAAACATTGAATTTTGGGGCAAATTTTGCTGATGCGGCCCAGTTGACGTTGGAGTGGGAGTCACTGAAGCAGGAGACACTGAACCGTGATCCATGAATTTGCCCACTGTTGATGCCATTTGGGCTGAAAGCTCGAAATAGCGGGCTGCTGTTTGTGACTGATGTGGTGCTGATCCATGGGCTGCTGTTGGAGAAGACGCTATGAAAATGTGAAGAGAAGAGTGAAATGGAAAATTGGCAACGCACATGAAAGACCGTCCCAGTTGTTATTTTTAATTTTGAGTTTCTCAAACCAGATGGGTAACCTATCAAGCAATAACAAGTTTTCCTAGCGTGATTGTCCCGATTGCAATTTTCACAATGAAGCTGTCTACCTCCTTGCTTATCATTGGGTAATGATGTTTCAGCCAAAAGTGTAGCTGCTTAAAAAATAGGAACACAAGCAACAACAATATGTTGTTGTTTTTTTATCATGGATAGTCATGTCATAAGCCTTCTCAAGCCAAGGTAATGGCTCTATATTAAGAATTTGAGATCTAACAGTGCTATGTGAATCATTCAAACCCATCATAATATCAAATATCTTTTCTTCCTTGAGCATCTCTTTCAATTTTCTTGCAGCTAAACAAGTACCAATTGGAATGGATCGAAGATTTTGCAACTCAATCCATCTACTCTTTATTTTTTCATAGTATGTAGAAAATACTATTTTTTTCCTCTACAATAATATAATTGAACGTTTCAGTTCATATATCATGAATGCAATTCTTTAAGTAAACCTCTGTTCAAAATTATACCATATTTTGCTAGCAATGCAAGCATGAGTTGCACCTGATTATAAAATTTTGAAAATTGAATTGACGAGTCATGATTTGACTATGACATTTCATTCAATCTATGATTGAAAATCTTCGAAATTAACATCTGATTTGGCTAATGTACAATCCACAAAACCTGTTTATTTTTGCATTATCATTCAAGGGTTGTATAACAAAAATCAGACTTGAATGGCCCCATTGATGCAAATAGAATGGTGATTTGATATCAATTGCACATATTTGCAATCAATACCAAACTGCCTTTATCAATTGTTATGGAATCACTCGTCATGACTGTAGAGGGAAAAAATTTTTATAAACTATGCTCTGATATCATAGAAAAAGAATGTAATAAATATCAAAGTGTGTTATTTCATTATAGAAAAAATAGGGAAAGAATTACATAACTATTTCCTATAATAAGCTATGGAATATAGAAATATCCATATATACAAGAATTGTGTTTAATGTAAAATATTTAATAATAATGATACAAGATTTAATAACAATGACAAGATAATTGCCATTATTAGAGCCGGTAAACTCTCTTGGAGTTAGAGCAAGCAAGGGTGAGAGCCAAACTTTCACAGATCTCTCTATTTAAAAAACCGAATCTTTTACTTGAAAACCAAAGCTTATAAAAAGTAACAAACTTTTAAATTAATATTGTGTAAATGTAAAGATAATAAAATGTATCTATAAAAAAATTAAGTAAAAATGCACATTATTTTAGCTCTTTTTTTCCTATCATTTTCATTTATTTAATATATTATTTACTTGAAAAATAAAATGAATTCATTATTTTTTGATTAAATGAAAAATTTTATCCCCATTCTATTATGATTTGACAATTTTGAACACATAGTATCAAATTGCATAATTTAAATCCTACAATAATAAAGATTGGACAAATATGATCCAAATTGTTAAATCTCTATTATGTATAATAGTTAATCCAATTGACTATTACTTGGAATACCAAAACGATGTTGTTTTGACATTTTATTGTTAATTATATTTTAAACAATTAAAAATATTTTTAACCTTCTAATCTTGAACCTTTTTTGCTTATTAAATATTATAAATATTTTATAAATTATATAAAAATATTTTATAAATATTTTTAACCTCCTAATTTTAAATTTTTTAAAACTATTTTTTAACTTTTTTTTTATAAAATACTCTAAACATTTTATTTATTTTTTTATATAATTTATAAACTTAGGGGGTCAACCTTAATTATGTATTTTTTTTTACAATAACATTTTATAAAAAAAAATTAGAAAAAAATTTAAAATTAGGGGTTAAAAATATTTATAATTTATAAAATATTTATTTTATAAGAAAAAAAATTTCTTAAAAAAGTTCAAGATTAGGGAGATTAAAAATATATATTTTAAAAAAAATTAACGAGTGAAATATCAAAACTACGTCGTTTTAGTATTCTAAGTAACAATTAACTTGGTTGACCGCTACACATAAAGAACATTGGATAATTGCAATTACATTTGCCCAATCTTCAATATTTTGGAGTTCAAATTATACAATTTAGTACTATGGATCCGAAATTGTCAAATCACAATAAAGTAGGGATAAAATTTACTATTAAATCATTGTTTTTTTTTTAATCTATTTAAGTTAGTATTGTAGTAAGAATTAGGGGATCACTAGCTAATTAGTAATTACCAGTATTGTTGTAAGGAGATATCAAGTTTTTTAATTATGATTTGTTTTTCAATATAAATTTTTCTTATGTATTTACGAGGGAGAAATAAATTTTGAAACACCTACGTTGAATTTGATACATTATTAAGCTTCAAATATTCTTGATTGAAAAAAAAATCCATTAGTTTAAATATGAACATTTATTTTTTCTTATCTGATTTAAGATAAAAATTAATTATTATTTTAATTTATGCAGTTAACTCTATTCTTAAACGTTTAATATCTGTTTTTATTATAAGAAAATAATTTTATTCTAGTTTTTGCTAACTTATGATTTTATTTATAGGATAATGTTTCATAATAAAACAAAAAAATATTTGTAATTAAGTGAATCTCTCTTCAAAATTATACCATATTTCGCTATTAGTGCAAGCATGAGTTGCACTTGATTATAGTTTTTTGAAAATTGAATTGATGAGCCATGATTTGACTATAACATTGCATTCAATCTATGAATGAAAATCTTCGAAATTAACATCTGGTTTGGCTAATGTATCATCCGGATTGGAGTGCATTGAAATAGGTACTTTGCTATGTAAATAATTTTTTACATTCTCATTCAATGATTGTGTAACAAAAATCAGACTTGAATAACCCTAGGGATACAAATAGAATGGCGATTTGATATCAATTGTACAAATTTGCAATCAACACCAAACTACTTTTATCACTAGTTGTAGAATCACTCGTCATGACTATAGAGGGAAATTTTTTTTATAAACTACGCTTTGATATCATGAAAAAAAACCGTAATAAATATCACGAGTGTGTTATTTCATTATAAAAAAAAATAGGGAACGAATTATATAACCATTTCCTATAATAAGCTATGAAATATAGAAATATCCATACATAGAAGAATTTTGTTTAATGTAAAATATTAATAATAATGATACAAGATTTAATAACAATGAGAAGATAATTGTCATTAGTAGAGCCGGTAAACTCTCTTGTATTTAGAGCAAGCAAGGTTGAGCACTAAACTTTAACAAATCTCTCTATTAAAAAAACCAAATCTTTTATTTGAAAACCAAAGATTATAAAAAGTAACAAACTTTTAAATTAATATCATGTAAATGTAAAGATAATAAAATGTATCTATAAAAATATTAAGTAAAAATGCACATTCTTCTAGCCTTTTTTTCCTATCATTTTCATTTATTCAATATGTTACTTACTTGAAAAATAAAATGAATTCATTATTTTTTGGTTAAATGGTAAATTTTGTCCCCATTCTATTACGATTTGATAATTTTGAACACACAATATTAAATTACGAAATTTAAAACATAAAATATTGAAGATTGGACAAATATGATCTAAATTGTCAAATCTCCATTATGTGTAATAGTCAATTCAGTTGACTATTACTTGGAATACCAAAACGACGTTGCTTTAACATTTTATTATTAATTATATTTAAAAAAAAATTAACCTCCTAATCTTGAACTTTTTCTGCTTATTAAATATTATAAATATTTTATAAATTATATAAAAATATTTTATAAATATTTTTAACCCCTAATTTTAAATTTTTTAACTTTTGTTTTATAAAATACTATAAACATTTTATAAATTCTTTTTTATATATAATTTATAAACTTAGGGGGGTCAACCCTTAATTAGTTCATTTTAATTTATAAAATGTTTTTTATGGCCAGAAATTGTGTATTGTTAATTATATTTTTTTTTACAATAACATTTTATATATATAATTTTTTTTTAAAAAAGTTCAAAATTAGTGGGTTAAAATACTTATAAAATTTTTTTAAATATATAATTTATAAAATATTTTATAAGAAAAAAAAAGCTTCTTAAAAAAGTTCAAGATTAGGGAGGCTAAAAATATTTTTATTTTTTTTAAAAAAAGCATAATTAACGAGTTGAATATCAAAACGACGTCATTTTAGTAATTTAAGTAATACTCAACTTAGTTGACCATTACACATAACGAACACTAGACAATTTGAATTAAATTTGCCCAATTTTCAATATTTTGGAGTTCAAATTACGCAATTTGATACCATGGATCCGAAATTGTCAAATCAAAATAAAATAAGGATAAAATTTACCATTAAATTGTTATTTTTTTAATCTATTTAAGTTAGTATTGCACTAAGAATTAGGGGATCACTACCTAATTAGTAATTATTGGTACTGCTACAAGGAGATATCAATTATTTTAATTGTGAATTTTTTTCAATACAAATTTTTCTTATGCATTTATGAGGTAAAAATAAATTTTGAAACACCTACATTGAATTTGATACATTATTAGGCATCAAATATTCTTGATTGAAAAAAAAAAAAAAAGGGAATCCATTAGTTTAAATATGAACATTTTTTTTATCTAAAATTTAATTATTATTTTAATTTATACAGTTTTAACTCTGTTCTTTAACGTTTAATATCTGTTTTTATTCTAAGAAAATAATTTTATTCTTGTTTGCTAAGTGATGATTTAATTTATGGGATAATGTTTCATAACAAAACAAAAAAAAATATTTATAATTAATCTTTAATAGGTTGTCTAAACGATGAGAAAGGAAGAAAACTTGTTAAAAAATGAAAAAAAAAAAAATAAGAGAGAAGGAGATTGTAGCTTAAGATAATTTTTAAGTTGCGTATATTAAATTTTTGTATTACTGAGATTAACTTTTGATAATAAAAATGAATTTAATTAATACTCTTACAACTATATGCACTTTTAAAATTAAAACCAAAAAACATTTATTTTTATGTTATTGTGTTATAAAAATGTTTTTTTTTTAAAAAAAAAAGAGAGTAAAGGTTCAAGAATGAGAAAGTATGAAAATAAGAGAGCAAAAAAATGAATTTTACTAATACTTTTACAACTATATGTACTTTTAAAATTAAAAAAAAAAGGAAAAAAAATTATTTTTATATTATTATGCTACAAAAATTTTTAAAAATGTATAAGATTAAGAATGATAAATTATGTAAATAAGAGAAAAAAAATTATTAAAAATAAAGCATATAAAATTGAAAATAAAAAATAGAACATCAACCAAACGAATGTGGGCCAGGCTTATGCGTATTTACTGTTGACAGCCCACATGTTGCCGGATCCATTAAAAAAAAAAATGCGAAGCTAAGCTACCTGATCCGAACCACATGATCATTTGGGTGGCAAGTCATGATTACGCGTCTTGCAATATAGAAAACAACGGCAATGATGTGTTTTGCATGCTGAACAGAACAAAAAAATTAGATAAATTAATTAGATTGGACATAATAATTAATAACAAGTAGTTATCCTGTTTATTGTTTGATGCTTATTGAATAAGACTAGAAAATTTATTGTATTTTATACTTAATATAAATGTGACATTATGGAACAATATGCTATAGTAATAATTAATAATAATATCATTATATCGAACTCATGTAATCTAAATATAAAGTAAGAATGTAATTCCTTGTAAATTATGCTCAAGTTCTAGAAATAGCTTAAATATTATATTTAATATGAAAAGTAACAAATTAAAATAATTAATTTATTTTGAAAATAAATCATTTTATATTATATTATTTGATTTTCATAAATAAAATATTTTTTTCTAATTTTTATTGATATTATTTTATTTTATATTATGAGTTCATAAATAAAAAAAATTAGTTATTTTCAAGTTATAAGTTTAAAAAAAAAAACCTATTTTTATTATGAAATAATGAATGTCTATCATCATGTTCATCTACTTTTCGTATCTCCACTACTTATAATTCAATTCATCATTCAATATGAGAAATTGAAAGGGTGATGCAATTGATTATTCATAGTTCATTCCAATTCTTTTCTCAAATTTGAAGCCTATAAATAGGCTTAATTGTTCATTAGTTGGGGTATAAGTATTTTGTAGAGATTGTGAGAATTATTTAGAGTTGTTATCTTTTATATTCTCTTTATTATGAAATCATTTCTTCATCATTTTTCTCTTCAATTCTCTTATTATTTTTATTTCTTTTATAACAAGTTATTGGCCCGATGCTCTAACCAATCGAGACAATAGACCATGAGGCATATATATAGCAAAAGACTTAATCAATTGTTTCAACTATTGGATTTCTTACGCACAAGTGCTCTTCCAATTGAATCTAAATTATTATTTAGATAATTAAGAGATATGTATCTAATTTATTCATGTACTTTAAAACTATTGATACATGAAATATACATTTGAAAAACTTAAATGATCTACTAATGATCTAATATATGTTATTTGAAAAGCTTTAATTTTATTATTATATTTGTTCTTATTTTTTAATATTATTATTATATATTACATAATAGAATTTTTATCATATCAAACCTCATAAACTCTGATTTTGTGGCTCTTGATATTTCGAATAAGAACTATTGATTATGAGTGCTTGATTCGAAGAAATATTATCTACTTTTGATGTGTTGAATATGCTCTTGCAATAGCAATATTGAGAAAATGAATTTAAGAAATATTTTGAATCGATTTCATATTTGCTCATGGCTAAATAAAATGACAAGCTATTAATGAAAAAGAATAAATCTTGTCTAATTGGATCTACTTCATTCCTTGAAGTGAATGTAACAATTTATAATAATTTTAGGCATGGAAGAAGATATAGTTATAACCATGGATGTGGTCAAAATAATTATCATTATAATTATAATAACCATAATATTACATCTTACCATCGAAGTGGATAACTATGAAAAAAAAAGAAGATAAAGTTAGTACACTCGAAAAATAAATATTATAGATGTGGAATCAATGATTATTAGTTGTGTACTGCTCGTACACCAAAGCACCTCATTGAGCTTTGCCAAGCCTTATTGAAAAATAAAGAGTAAAATATGAAGGCCACTTTTATATATCAAAATAATAGTAATTGAAATTAATTACTTGTTAGTTTTTCTATTTATAAATAAAATGTTTTATATTTCTTATAATTTGTATCGTTTAGTGATGGTTACAAATTTATTTTACTATTTATTTATTTGTTTGTGTTTATGAGGAATATATTTATTTATTTATTTTGTATTGATTTATTTGATTATTTATTTTATGTTAATATTGTATATGATAATATCAATCTAATAGAAAGCTCTAAAAGAGCAATTATATTACTATCTAAAGAGATAAATTTTGAAGGCTCTAGAAGAGTGATTATATTATGACTCGAAAAGATAAATTTTTGAAGCTCTAAAAGAGTGGATATATTATTATTTGAAAAGATAATTTTTAAAAGCTCTAGGAGAGTCAATATATTATTACTTGAAGTGACATAATTTAAAGGCTCTAGAAGAGCAAATATGTTATTATCCGAAAGGATAAATTTTATTATAAATGATGTATTATTCTCTTCAAAGTCTCTTAGAAACTTGTTGAGTTTCAAATATATTCATCTAAATTGATATCATATCAAGATAACAAATGTGAATACTTATATATTATAATCATTGTAACGGATAAAAAATATGTATTGAAAAATTTATTCGCTTTCTCTTCTAGTCTTTATTGCAAATATTGGAATGATTGAAACAAATGTTATAGTAAACTAGAAGTTTACTAATTCAAATACTTTTATTATGTGACATGACCAGTTGTATTATCTTGGATCTTTTATGATGTAAAAAATTATTAAAAATTCATATGGACATCTATTGAAAAGCCAAAAAGTTCTTCAATTTAATGAATTTTCATGTTACGCATGTTCTTAAGACAAGTTGATTATTAAGTCATCACCAAGTAAAATTGAGATCGAATCTCTAGTATTTTTAGAATGTATTCAAAGTGATATATGTGGATCAATTCATCCACCATGTGGATCATTTAAATATTTTATGATTTTAATAAATGTATTCATAAGATGATCACATAAATACTTATTATCTATTAGAAACCTAATTTTTTTGAGATTGCTAGTAAATAATTTGATTTCGAGCATAATTTTCAAATTATGCCATTAAAGCAAGTCACCTTGATCATGCTTGGTGAATTTTTTTCTCAAACATTAAATTATTATTGATTGGCTATTAGAATAAAGGTTGAATAGCCTATTACTCATGTTCATACTCGAAAGGTTTAGCAAAAATCATTCATCAAAAGGTTCCAATTGATAGCTAAACCATTATTTAAAAATAAAAAATCCCTGTTTATGTCCGGGGATATGCAATCTTACATGCGGTAACACTTATTCGCATCGGACCTATAAGTTATCGAAATTCTCTCCTCTTCAATTGATTTATGGTCATGAGCTAAATATTTTTAAGAATTTTTAGCATTGTAGTGTATATTCGTAGTGCTCCATCATAACAAAATAAAATGGGCACTTAAAGGAGATTAAAAATATATGTTGGATTTGAATCCTTTTTAATGATTAAATATCTTAAATCATGAATAAGTGATATTTTTACGGCTTGATTTATCGATCGTAATTTTGATGAAATAGTTTTTTCAACATTAAGGGGAGAGAATATACAAAATAAGTAGTTAAAAATATTGAAAAAATGGATTACATAAAGTACTTTATCTTTATATCAATTTGGTACAAAACAATGTGAACTAGAAGTTTAGAAGATAATTCATTTACAAGGTATTACAAACCAAGCTGCTAGATGCATTCTCGGATCCTAAATGAGTAACTAAAATGTATGTCTCTGATGAGAATGCTTCTATTAGAATTGATATCCTAGAGGGACGATCTATTAATGATATAGCTAATGAATCTAAGGCACGTACGAAGCGTGAAAGACCGATCGGTTCTAAAGATAAAAATCCCTAAAAGAAAAAGGCAAGATGAAAATATAAAGGATGTCAATATTCACAAAATGGTCCAAGATATTTTTGATAATAGACTTATAGAAGAAGTCCAAATGCTTGAGAAAAATAAAGAAATTTTCATAAATTATGTCAATACAAGGAGAAAATAGGACAAAAAAGAAACATATATTGATAAGATTTTGCATATAATATTGTGATTGATATTTTGAATGAAAATAAGGATCTCGAGCCAAAATTTATTGAAGAATATCGACATAAAGATGATTGGTATAAATAAAAGAAAAAATCCAGGCAGAATTATATTCTCTTACAAATGAGTAGTTTTTTGAACCCATAGCTAAAACACTCGAAGATGTTAAGCTAGTGGGATATAAATGAGTATTTTTACGAAAAAAAAAAAAGATAAATGAGATTGTAAGATACAAAGCAAGACTTTTAACACAATAGTTTTTACAAAAAGCTGACATTGACTATAAGGAGACATATTCTTCTATAATAGATGCAATTATATTTTATTATCTCATTAACTCTGGAAAAATATATGAAAAATATTCATATGCATGCATTTACTGAATGTGATCACGGTTTATTTATTCATTTGAAATGATATTAATATGAAATTCCTAGAAGGACTTAACATGCCGAAGCATGCAATACATATTCTCGAGAAAAGAATTCAATTAAATTATAGAGATCTCTATGAGGTTTATTTTAATATTTTTTTATTATTTTAGTTTTTAGGAATTCAATTTATATTATATTTTTTATATTTTATTTTTATATCTATTGTTTATTACTAACCCGTATGCATGTGATATAATCACTTCAATGATTATTTATTGAAAGAAAGTTATAAAAAAAACCCTATTTGTTTATATATTTTTATTTGAAAAGGGTTTTGTTGTATATGTTGATAACTTAAATGTTATTGAAACTCCTAAAAAGATTTCAAGTTCATAAGTTATCTAAAAAGAGAATTTGATGTGAATACCTTAGAAAAAAAATGTTATCTCGACCTGCGGTTCTAGCACTCGGAGAATAAGACTTTTATTCATCGAGTCAATTTGTATAGAAAAAGTTCTACAATAATTCTATATAAAGATTATTCATTGACTAACCCAATGGTAGTTCATTTACTTGATATCCAAAAAGATCATTTTTTACCTTGAGAAGATAACGAAGAACTACTTGATCTTGAACTACTATATCTTAGTAACATCGATGCATTGATATATTTTGCTAATAATACTCTACCCGATATAGTCTTTTCTATAAATTTATTAGCAAGTCATAGTTTTTTTTTCAATACGG